CAAGCAGCAAAAATGAAGCAGCAAACGCGATTTTGCTGCTTTTGCTGCATCCGATGTGAACATAGCATAACTTCCCCCTGCAGCATGTACATCTTTTCACCACAATCCCTTTGTCTGTAGGCACCAGCACTAATTGCATTTTCCTTAACAAATCTCTGCCTAATAAATTAACTGGACAGTCTGGGCTTAACACAAAATCAGCTTCCACTGTGGATCCCTCTTCATCAGTGACCAATTGTTTTTCCCCCGTGACCATCGGCCCCTCACTTGAGCCCAATCATGGTCCAAACTACACTTCATAGCTTTTTCTATGTTTTAGCTTGCACAATCCACTTATTTAACCCCTCTATTTTTTTTTATTCCCTGTATGTAGCTTGCATGACAAAAATATTTTTTTGCCGGGTTATTTATTTTGAATTTTTTGGTTCCGAACCTAATAATTTTGGAGACCCTGCAGGCGCATTAGGAAGGCTGTCAGTTGCGTATTCTACGCACTGGATGTTTATTCAGCAGGACAGTACCCAAAAACTGTTGTGGTAATTTCTGCTTCTACCTTTTCAGGTGAGAAATTCTTGCCTCTGCATCCACAAGAGTTTTACTGTATTAACCCCTGCTGTTTTAGTATGAAACAACAGAACCTGAAAGGTTTGATTGTTTCCTCACACACTCTCACACAGTTACACCTATTTCTAGGCCTATTATATATTTTTTATTTTAACCAATATAGACGCAAAACATCTATCGTTACGTGTACACTTTGGAGTCTCAAACTCCAGGCCCACGCACGCACCGGATACCCAGATGCCGTATCTATCAAATATCCCTGCTGCGGCAGCTGCAAACCTTACTATCTCGAGAACAACACAGAGTCCCAAACTCTAATGCACAGAATACCCAGATGTCATATGCGTCAACAAGACTTGGTCTCGTCAAATATTCTTGCGATTACAGCTGTAACTTTAAATGGTCCTAGACCAACTTTTGATCAAAAACTTTAGGCCTACCCTTTGTCGTGTAG